CAATTCCATTTTGATAATAATAAGGCAAATACCGAGAAACAGTTAAATTGGTAAACAATAAGTGAGATCGAATAAAATAGACTAACAACGAAATTCTATAGTATTCATAAAAAGATATATGAATTTTAGAAGTATTTTATTTGTATAATGGGAGGGCTTATAAAAAGCCCCAATTTAAAAAATGAGTTATGATATAATTAGTGGCAATTATAGTATTCATAAGAAATAAACACTTATACATCAATAAATTATATATACAGACGACTAGAATGATGAATGATGAACTTGATTTATTTTTTATATTTAATATTTTTATTTCACTAAAATATAATTTTTTTTGTGTATCTTTTTCCAATTTTACCTTCTATAACTTTTATGCCCTAGTTATTACATATAACAGGCAAATTTGGAAACAAATTCCAAAAACTTCTGAATAACATAAATAATCCATTCAACAAACAACTAGAATTTTATTTATAAAAAATGGACAACACTAAACTTTTATAAACGGGTCACAAAAGAAATGAACAAAATGCACAAAAGTGGATAACAGAATTCTGAAGCCTGTTAGGTGAGTTCATGTCATAAATTAAGTATTCTACATGTGTTTAATGGCACAATAAATATAATTTACATGGCTGAGGAATAGAATGGATAAAAATTTGGTAATTATGCACATCTTCTTCGAGTTAATGAATGTTGGCAATCATGTTAGCATTTTTAGCAATTTGCTCTTTATTAATGGCTGTTCTGAATAAAGATATCGTAGATGTATTGAACCATTTTACATCAGCTACTTTAATTTTGCTAACTTTATTGATAGGTTATTATAATATTTTATTTCATTATTTATAGTGAATGTTACATTCATATGTTTTATATTCAAAATATTTACTAGTTATTTATAAAATAAATCATATCTTGCACCTTTAAAATGCCTAACTCTTATTAGATTTAATGTTTTTCTCCATTACAATAATTTCAAATCTTTTAGCGTATAAAGTGTATAAATAAATTCAAGTTGAAAAACAATCAAAATCTAGTTAATGTATTATGTACAAAAACAAAAAAAAAAAAAAAATCTTAGAAGAAAAGTTGAAGATTATTACAATGATGAAAACTACTAAGTAGATAAAAAACTATATTGAAAAATATAGTCTAATTAAATAATCCTCAAAGGAAGAAAATTAAATGAAAATAACAATTACATTTTTATTACATCTAATAAATGTTAAAAAAATAAAATTGCATAACACACAAAATTACTAATCAAATGTATATTTTATATAATGTTTCCTTATGGCACTATACTCTAGGTAATTTTGATGACATTGGTATTGCAGATGGTAATAAGTAATCCTAAAAGCAATTGGTTGATGTTAAAATAGCAATTATTTACAAATGTAAGTTAATACATGAAAAATAAAATGAATAATAAAAGTAACAATATCAAATAATTAGCAAGGCATTTATTTGATTAACCACAACATTTAATTTTTTATATTAATAGTAATTTAATATTATTATGCGGAGGAAGAACTCAATGCAAGTTTAAATTACATTTTATGGATACAGTATACTTATTATTTACCTAATTAGAAAATATAAAAATTACCAAGAAAGTTAAGAGTTTAAATCATACTTCAGGTCCATTATTTACAAAAATGTTACAATGTTTATAATAATTTGAAATTAAGAATAATTAATATTATTCTAATCTGTATCCTATATACTACAGAAAATAGATTATTCAATGTGATGACTGATGATTCATTATTGGTCTCGTAATCGGTTTACAATATATGCAATTGATAACACTATAACATAACTGTTATAGGGACCAACTAATAAATATATAAATAAACTAAGAGATAAAGATAAACAGCTACTATGTATTCAGTAATATTTCTAGTAATACTCAAATGTATTTTACTTACTCTGTTATTTTAGTGTTAAGGTGTATATAACAACAAATAACAATGATAAAATATAATAAACTCAAATACTTAATATGGATGTAATTGTGTATGCATAATATAAATAAACAAAACCATACAAATTTTACACTTGAAATAGTGAATAAATTATAATATTCAAATAAGCATTTAAAGTTTAAAATACTTTATTTTAAAGTATTTAAATTAAATGTCAAAAATTAACAGTGTAGCTACATACATATAATAATTAATAAATATAATGCTTACCACCTATATGTACAATATTAGTAAAAAATAATTTAAACAAATTGAAATCACATTAAATTAACAAAATAAAATAATGTATTATTACAACTATATATCATTATATTGAAAAACACAAAAAATTAAATTTTAATTATAATGAACAGTTTATGTTAACTTTACACTTATAAATAATGGTTAGTTTATAAAAATATATAAGTTAGGTTGACCAATGATTAATAATTATATGTATAATTGATATAAAACAAATTTATATATGTAGTAAGTGTAGTCGTTCAGAACATAGCTGATGTAGCTGATGAATGTTTACCATAAATATGTGATTTCAATGTAAATTGATATCTACATTTTTTTGGACACCAAGGACATTGATATGAAGGTTCGATGCCACATTCATTTTTCAAATGTCTATGTAAGTTTCGCAAATGAACATAAGACTTTTCACATTTTGGACATGGAAACTGACCATCACCTTTGAATAAGGAGTCAACCATTGATCCTATTCAAGAAATATTAATAATATAAAAATAAGTTATTTTTTATTTTTTTTTTTAACTTAGATTTTCTTAAATTAATAGGTAAAGATAATTTATTAAAATATTTGTTGAACAAAATAAAAAATAACTGAATAAGTATTTTATGTTAAAATGTATAAGATATTAATTATTTGTTCATCATATATTTCAGATATTATCCATATAGGATAAACAGTCAAGTCTACATTTATAAATTAGGTATTAATAAAAACAATAAAAATATTATTATAGTACCTTATAATAAATGGCATTAACTACTCAAATAAGCAAAAAGCAAATAAATAAATGTGTAGTATTAAATAAATAAGAAATTTAAATAAATTAAATAAATTTTATTAAAAAGGAAATATTTTCTTTTGTATAATATAAAAAAAATCAAACAAGTAAATAAATTTTTATGTTAAATTAGGTACAATTTAATGTATTTTTACTATTGGGCAAATATTTTAATTTTTAACCCTCATTTTATAACTATTAATTGTTTGATTCTCCGCTAACTATGTCATTATGCACCACAATTAATCAATAACATTTTCCGTACAATTTGGATATTATATTGTTAAGTTTCTATTCTTGCTGTTAGTAAAATGACATCTTGAGCTTCTTCTACAAGAGAAAAATTATAACTGCTTCATATGTTTTTCAAACAACTTTCTGAAACGTGTAAGTAATCTATTTTCTATTTCTTCAACTGAAATTAACTAGAAAAAAATTACTTTACAAATTGAAAGGACACCAAAATGTTTTTGTCTGATGCGTATATTTTAAAGTTTGTTTGATTCTAAAATATTTGTTTTTTCTCATCCATTTAAAAAGCAATTGGGTGTGTTAAATAATATAATTAATAATATGTGATTATATTAATTATATTACTAATAATAAAAGATAAAATAAAATAGTATCTAAATTACACATACAATATAATACATTATTATAAGTAAATAATAAAAATAAGAATATATTAATTTACATATTTTATTTTTTATAAATCAAAATTAACAATACATATATTTTAATTACCTAAGATTATTATTAATAGAGTATATAACAATTAAACTAAATAAAATATTCTGTTCATTAGAGACCGACATATTTACTATTATACTGGATTACTATAATAACAATATATGTAAAAATATATAGCTTCTTAGAAAAATTAATATACTATTTAAATACTTAAAAAGTACTTAAATATAAATAAATTAAATTAAATAAATAAATACTTAAATATACTTTTAAGTATATTCATACATGTATACTAAAATACCCAATAAAAATTAAACTTTAATAGCGATTTCAATAACCAAGCTATTATAAGTGTTTACAGTTAATTTGCACTGTGATTTAATATTGTTCAAAGATACCTTAAACTAACAAAAAGTATAAAGTAAGTACTGAAAGTATTGACAAATTATTAACATATAAGAAGCATTATACATAACTTTGTCAGCTAGTAGCTTACTAGTTTTGCAACAGTATTAAATATAGATTTTAATAAATAAAAATAACATTTAAAGGAAATATTTTTTTAACTACAGTAGAATCATGATTATCTGAGATAATAGTGGGAAAAGGTAACACGGATAAATGAAAAACATGATTGATCAAGACTTTTTATTAAATTAATTATGAAAAAATGTATAAGTTTTATCCATATTAAGTGTGTGCAATGTTATTTTCTCAATGACTATTTTCAAAACAGCTATGGAAATGCTAAAAAAACACTAAGAAGTGTGGAAGAAATTCAATAGAATTGAAAATTTCCTGTATGTATTAGTTATAATGTGATTAGATAAATATAATAGTTGAAGAATCCATAGATTTATGAATAACTATGTGTCTATTAGTCTTTATTAATCTTTATTAAACTTTTATTTACCTATGATATATATGGCCATATTTTATCATTTACGTTTTTTGATAATATATATTATGTACATAGTATAAAATTACGTTTGTTTGACCTTATAAAACTTTTCAGACAAACATTTTGGAAGAATGAGCGTAGTTAATGACGAACAGGGATAATCAAGGTTTCATTGAAATATATGCCTATAGTTCATTAAATTATGTCATCACAATTAATAACTGCTATTGTTAGATTCTGTTAAAATGAAAACAATGAAAATAAAAGGATTTGTAAGCAAGGAAAACATACACTGCCTTTTAGATCCATAAATATTTAAAAATCATAAAGTAAAAAATTTTTAAGAGACTTTTTATTATGACAAATTAAAAAAACTTAAAAATTAAAAATACCTACCTTTTCTGTTGCTTGGTGTGGGATGACCGTTAATAGTTTGTCTGTTTTTTTTTTTTTTACAAACCATTCATGCCATAGTAGTTTCCCCCTAAAACAAATTAAACCAAATTAGTTACAAAATAATAAATTAGTTTAAATTAGAAAATGTTGTAATCTAATAAAAATGGATATCACTTCTTAACAACTATCATGCAATTTAACCATGTATGCTAAATAGTCAAAATTTAATAACTGTTGATAATTAATTATATATTTACCAGCAACAGAGCAATCCAGTCAATATGCATCTTCCATCCAAAATTCATTTTTAGGTAGAATTGTGATCACTTTTATCTTGACACAAAAAAACTTTATTTTATTTGAATTAACTGCTAACAACATTAAAAACAAAAATATTTTTATCATAATAAAAATGCAATATTTTACGTTACACTATTTATCATAATAATTATTATTTCACTGCATTAACATCCAACTAAATCAAACAATTAATTTCAATCACGAGTCACGATAAAATAACGATTTATTCATACGAAATAGAATAATCAAGCGAACCAAAATAACAAAAATACGGATTTGAAACGAGAAAACCGTACTAAAAGTTTAAGCACAGTGTACACTTCGATCTAGAGATGATAACGGTAAAAATAATCCAAGATAACCGAATTGTAATAGTTAGAACATAGGATTATCGATTAAAAGTATTGATCAAGCAGTAGGTATATTGTCTAACTAAGCTTATTTAACAAAACAAAACAAAGTTATAAAAATAAGGCGCGATTGTAAAAATCCTACATCAACGGCACTGACAACACGCGGCGATAATAACAACTGATAATGTGATATCATTATTATCACATAATGATACTATTGTAACCACGATTAATATATCTTTATTCGTGGTAATAACCCAGTGGCCAATCATAAAGATTTTAATAGTAATTATTATTCTATTGGAAGAATTTACCAGAAGAAAAGTAAAAACCACAAATATATAAACATGCGTTATTATAGAAATAAACAATATATAAATAAAAAACTTATGTTTATATTTCTGTGGTAAAAACGAACAATTTATAGCTGTGGGTGTCGCAAACTAATCACAAATCTAATTTTCAATCTCTCTTTTTGTTTAGATATTTACGTCGACATTCGTTCGGGCACATTCAACGTATATTTGATAAAAACAAAAAATTATGCTTATGTAAAATTTAAATAAACTTAAAAACAAACTATATTTAATAGATAAATATGTAGTAATAAACAATATACATCTACAAAACAGGATTATTAATATATAAAAAAAAAAAAAGACATTTTATTATTATTTATTTGTTATCGGTGTTTGAAAAGAACTCCATAACTTTTCCTTACATCCTTATCCTTATCCACATCCTTACATGCCTATATTAAATTAGTTATTTTTTTCTAGCAAAATATTCTCTAGAAATAACTTATATGACAAAACAATGTTTGTTGGTTCAGTTAGTATGCTATATTAATACTGCTTAATTAATTCTTTAGGTATATAATAAGTATAGGGTTTAAACATAAAGTAAAATATACTTAGATTGTTTTATAATGGTTCCATTCATACAGAATTCAGGTTAGTATAAATATAAATAAAAAAAAAAATATTTAACGGCTAAATGAAAACGTTCAATTATTCATAGAACATGCACGATAACAACGTTCATTAACAAAAAAAAAAATGAATATAAACACGAGAGAGTAAAATTTTTTAGTGAACAGTGGCGTCGATCCATATATCTAAATATGGCGACTGCCATAGTGAATTATATGGTGGGTGGGTACTGGGTGTTGGGTAGGTGACACATAGCTTGGTATCCATAGCCCAATGTGTAAAATGTATTATGAAACTATTAAATTATTTAACATAATTCTATAAAAGCACACGGTTGAGATACGCTGATTACGTCGATACAAGCCAGAAGACGGTAAACCATAATGCGTATTAACGCAGATAATATGATAACGATATTGCGATGTGGTGTAAATAAATATTATGTTTATTTTTTTTATCGATTTCAATAAAATTCTTATTTATCTCTTTTAGATCTCTAACCATTTATAGAAAATTAGTGACGAACCTGTGAAACATTTTTAAAGGGGGCATAAATTAATTGTACAAATTTTATGGTTAAAATATAATGTGAAACTTTATTATAAATTATTAATAAATACTTAAAAATTAATCATTTATCAAAATCTAAATTTCTTTTTTTACTGCCAGCAAATAAATCAATAACTTCATCAACTTCAACTGTTCTGTATCTATGGATATTAAGTAAAGCTAAACAAACCAAGCGATCTTCGCCCCATGTTTGACCTTAACCAAGTTTTTAATCTAAGTTTAAAAGTACAAAGCAATATAAATTAAAATAAAATATAACCGTGCTAGATGCTATAGCATATAACCAGATTATAAAATAGTGACTATTTGTGACCATCAATCCTAATCCCAATTTGGTCGAATATTAATATTTTATATTACATTGATAAGTGATATCAAACACGATTATAATCAGTGAAAATTAAAAATATTTATAATTTACATTATTTAAGCTGAACAATTAATTTGCATAATGGCATCAAAAAACTTCTTGTGGGAGGTAAATACCCCAGTTGTCTTCCAAAAGTAGACTATTAGAAAACTGCAGAAAACCTTAATACCAGTTACGTACATACATAAACAATTTAAAAAGAAAAATCAAGAACAGGATGTAGGGTAGTTCCTTCTATAGTCCGTTCCAAAAGAGAAGATAAGAATTCTGCGCATTTTTTCTCTTCCATCAGGCTTTGTTTCACTCGGTGAACTTTACGAAGTCTATTTTCGATCATTGCCAACGATGTATACACCGTAATTAAAATGCAGTACACAATAGTCGTGAGTGGGGGATGCGCACCGCCGAATGAAAACCGGTCGGCGCTTCATGTCTTCTCTTTTGGAACGAACTATAGGTAGTTGTTGAATCAAATACATATCTACATTAGATATATTAGAAGTTAGAAAACTACAAATCAATGACCTTCAACTAAAAATTATTGCTTAATTATTATGTGTCAATGCGAGTTTTTAATAAATTATGATTGTAATATTATATTTTTTGTCAATCTCTATATTTATTGTTACTCATTTTCTTGTCTTGTGCTGATGACTCTTACTATTAAAATAAAATAATATATATATATGTATATATATAAATATTAAAATAATGAGAACTATTAGATTTAAGATTTAAGCTAATCAAAATAAAAGTATTTAAATAAATAAAACAATTTTTTACTACAGTACTTTACATGAGCTATATATGTTTTATTGACGTATCGTATATCAAAAGTTAAAAGTATGCAACGAAAAATTAAAACAAGGACAACATTGCTACATTATGACATTATGTACGCATCCTAAATGTATTTTCAGAAAGGTCTTGAGTATGAAAAGCTTGTTGTAAATACGACACATGAAATTATATGGCTGGTTATCACAACTCAACAAGTGCGTCTTTAGATAATCTTTGCGTTTGAATGACCGAGAGCAATTTTTGCAGATGAATTGGGGCCTAACTTCGCATTCAAATCTCAAATGTGTAGTTAATGATCCCTTAATCTTATAGCTGCGGTCGCATTTACGTGGACATGACAAGATGTTTTTGGTGGTCAGGTAATCTATAAATGAATAAACAATTTACTTTAAGTATATACTTAATAAGATTTACAACCAGATTTCTTATTACATAATTGATTGTACTTTAATAATATTATTATTTGCAATGTTATGTTATCTATTATCCATAATTTTCTTGTCATAGGCTGATGGTCCGTAATGTTATTAAATACAGTAAAATATTATTCAACTAAATAAAACGGATTATATTTGAGTAGGTACATAATATATGCAAAATAATTTTTATTGACGTATCGTATATTAAAAGTTAAAAGTTTACAAAGTAAAATTATAATAAAGACGATCCTGTTACAGTAAAACATTATGTATGAATGCTAAATGTGTTTTCAGACTGGCCTTGTGTCTGAAGAGCCTGTCACAAATTCGACACCTAAAATCAGGTGACTGGTTTTCACAGCTCATCAAGTGAATCTTCAGATTATCTTTACGTTTGAATGACCTTGAACAATTTTTGCAGATGAATTGGGGCAGAACTCCGCATTCAAATCTTAAATGTGTGGTTAATGATCTCCTATTTTTATAGCTGCGGCCGCATTTACGTGGACAAAACCAGATATTTTTGTTGGTCAGGTAATCTACAAATGAATAAAAAATTTACTTTAAGTATATATTTAATAATACATTCAATAGGTTTGCCATAGAGTAAAACTAGAAAAAAGTAAATAGATGATAAAATAAAGCTAGATGATGCTAGATTAAAACTTTTCCAAAAAAACTAGAAATTTTTTTTTGCTTATAAAATATTTTATCTATTGGTGGATAATCGATAAAAAATTATTTTATGTATTTTTTTATTATGTGTGGCTGCATAGACATACTATAATATATTTATTATATTATTTAGCCATATCCTTACTAATTTTGTAAAATATATACGTATTACGTATAAGAATCACTTGTTGCTAATTGCTACTTACTTAATAAATTAATTGTTCAATTTATAATTTTATATTGCTTATTACTAAAACCGTGCTAAAAAACTTGAGCGTAGGAACCTTTGTTGTTCATTATTGTAAAACGTGATATTATACCAACTTTGACTCATAGACTTTATACTAATAGATGGAGCATGGGCATAAGCGTCACTAAAGGGTATCGAGGGGTATCTATGCTACCCCAAACATTTTTATGGTGCAGCAAGAGTATTTTTTTGATACCCCAAAAAAAATCATAGATTTTAAAAATATATTCGATGTTTATTATTCATGTATGTACTTAGATTATATTATTGTAATTGTATCCAAAATAATTATATTTTGTGATAAGTCCAATATGGACGATAATAGGTTAGTTATAGGCTAGTTATGATATTAAACTTATAAAAATTATTTTTTCATTTTTTGAAAATGTACCCCAAAAATACCCCAAAATGTGGAATCTAGTGATGCCCATGAGCATGGGTATATTTCCCGTGGTCAGACGTTAGTGTTATACTATTACTTATAGTTACTAGTTACTAGTTATACTATTACTCAATTACTTTGTACATGCGCAATAGAATTTCAGGTTCGACGATCGTTTCGCTTACATTTCAGAAGAATTTAACTTTTTTTTTTTTTTTTGTCAACCTGAAGGTTGGTTTACAACTCCAATTCTCCATTCTAACAGATTCCTCGCCTTTTCTTTGAGTTCTTTGAAGGTTTTGACTTTTGCATCGATTTTAATTTGTCCTATATACGAGTTCGGCGGGCGTCCTGCAGTTTTCTTT